GATGAGCCACCCCGGAATCCACCAAAGCTTCAGGCTCGAATTCTCCAGAATCCACCGAAGAACAATGTCGTAGACCATTCAAACAGTGGCTTTAGTCCCCATATTGGATAAGTCTCCAAAATTTTCTTCGTCCAAAATCTTAATAATTGAAAAAATAAAAAAATGTCATTTTTAAAAGATCCAACAAAAAAATACTTCCTACCCAAAAGACTAAAAGAATCCGTTTGGTTTGATTTTAAAATCAATTTTGAAAGATATATTTTTTAAAAGAGTTTTTAAAATTTTTAAAATTATTTAGTTGTTCCCGTGATCTCCGCTCGAGCACCCAACAGCCCGCTCGAGCGGCTTCAGCAAAATATGCGCGTGATATAACAGAGGTCCGCTCGAGCGCTAGAGAACCCGCTCGAGCGCGAAATCACACATCTCAGTACTTTTACAGGCGACCAAAACTTCTGGAACCAGGGATTCTCCGCTCGAGCAAGGGAATGTTCGCTCGAGCGGACAGGCAACTTGGAATGCATTTTTGCATTTTGCTTCGGGGGCGCTGCCCCTCGACCCCGCCGTGGCGCTGCCTCGGACCTGCCAAGGGGCGCTGCCCCCTAGACCCCCGCGAGCTGACCGGGCAGCTTGATCCCGGTCATAATCAGCGAAGTGGCAATCTTGAAAGCATTAACATCACAAACTTCTCTTAAAGGCTTGATTCGGGTTGGATTTACATCTAACAACTTATAGCCTCACTGAAATAAAAATGCGAATAAAATTACAACTCAAAGGAGTTTTGTCAAACAGGATTGCCAAGAATAAAACCTAACAGACTATATTAATGCATTGTTTTATTATTGCATTCCCATTCCATTTTATCATTAATGCAATTGATTTTGAATCTTGCATTGGAAAAATATTATTTTGAGAAAGGAAATTGTTTGTGAAACAAGAATCATACTGGATTTGTCTTGGGGTAAATACATTGGTAAGTTTGGATATGGGGTGTAATTGGTAATGGTTAAGTTGGTCTGAGTGTCCATGGTAAAAGATTGAAAACACACACGGAGGAGGTACTATGTGCCTTTCGGTTAGCAACCGGTAAAGTGGGTATTACTAATGCTTGTTATGCCTACTTGTAAATACTAACCTAGAGATTACCTAAGTTGTAGTTACCGCTCCCTTTAAACTACATTGAATTGTTAAATTCTCAAATTGCATTGTGCACAAAAGTTTCAAAAGATAGAGATATATGTTTTTGAACATAGCATGGCATATGCATTCATCTCAAGAGATTGTACAAAATGTATATACTCTGTTAAGATTTTCTTATTGGGCTTTGTGTTGACCCTATGAGATTTTGTGCAGGAAATGATGTGGTGATTCTGCCGAGTTAAAGACATGGAATATGGTTTGAGAGCACAAGGCTCTTTCCTTTTTGTTGTAATTATTTTGACAAGCTAAGGACTTTATATATATGGGTTTGAAAACCACTTTTGTAACCGGGTTTAAGTCTTGGAATTTGTAACCCTTGAGGGCATTAATTTGTACTTGACATATTATGTCACATGCTATAGATTCATATTCTAGGAAAGTTGAATATATACTCGTATGTGGAAATTTTTTTGTAAATCTCTAGATGTTTAATGAATACACATGTTAGAGATTGATGATGACGTCTATGTCGAAGCTTTATATTCTTTACATATATTAAGCATTGGAGTGGTTGATTTGGAAACTGGATAATGTAATTAGAAGTTGGTGAATTTGTTTTGTATTAATTATTTGGGGCGTGACTTTTTTTTTAAATAAAAAAAATTAGAAACTAGTTTGGAAAAAAAATTAACAATATATATATATATTTTACAGAAGAGAGGGGATTGGAATTTGGGTTTGGATTTGAAATTTTGAGTTTTTGGTCCCAAAATTGGACATAAGATGGTTTAGGGAGTAAATTGAGAAAAATTACAAATGTTAAGAGGTAAAGTAAGAAAAAAAATACTTTAAGGGCCAAAGTTAAAAAAATATGAAACTTAAATGAGGGGTAAGTGTAATTTACCTATTTTTATGCCAATGTGGCATTTTTCATTTCAAATTAGACGGAAGTTAGTTTTGGAAGTAAAATATTAAAAAAAAAAAAATTACAAATGTTAGAGGCAAAAAGTGGGGAAAAAATATTTTATGAGTCAACAGAAAAATTATAAAATTTAAGGGAAACAAAGTGTAACTTATCTTATGATTTATAACCTGTTACTAATGTTATAATTGCATGATTTTCAGCTGGTGATGGTTACACATTGAATTATTACTATTTTATTAACACACGTTTGGAATGTGGGAAAAGATATAAGGTTTTCACTGGTTAATTTACCCTCTTATCTTATCTATAACCTGTTACAAATGTAACTATTACATGATTTTCAGCTGGTGATGTTTACACATTTTTTTAAAAGGAAAGTTACCGATAAATCCTACATGTTGGAGTTATATTTCATTTAGTTTTATAATTTTTATTTATTTATTTATTTATTGTAATCTATTTAGTTATTTTGAATGTATAATGACTCATTGGTTATTATAATCTCCTTAATTGTTGTTGTTTGCTGGAGTGTTATGTTTGGAAAAAATAGACTAAGGAGTTTTTAGGCTGTTATATTGGATTGTTTGGAGTAACTGATTCACATAAAGCTGATTAATCAGTTACTCCAATTAATCAGTTATTCCAATTAATCACATAAATTTAAGAAGAACTGATTCATTTTTTTAATCACATTTTTTTATGTGAATCAATTAATTGGAGTAACTGATTCACATAAATTTAAGAAGAACATATGTGAATCAGTTACTCCAATTAATCAGCTTTATGGCAGCTTTATGGTTAGTCTATTCAATTAATTGGAGTAACTTATTCACATATGTTCTTCTTAAATTTATTTTTAGATAGTGGTAATGTTTACTGATTGACTTATGGTTTTATTACCACGTGTTTGGTACATTGGAAAATATATAAGTTTTTTTTATTACATATATGTCATTTTACATCCATTTTGTTCATGGATTTGTTTCATTCTTTAATGTTTAAGTGCATCACACCCTTACTAATAAAATATATAAGTATTATATTGAATGAAGTATCAAAAATTTTAGAGAAGGTACCAAAAGAAGAAATAATGATTCATTCATGTTAATCACGTGTTAAAAAAAATATTATACCAATGACAGCACATAGAGTTCTTGTTAAGGTGTAGAAAATATCAAAGTAATAACAATTTTAATGTATTTTTCATTTTTTTATATATTTTATTTTTTATACACAGAAATTATAGCTCATATTCGGAAGTTGAAAACCGAAAAAAAAAATATTTTCGGCACTTGAAAGCCGAATCAAGTCAATATTTTCGGAACTATAGTGCCGAATGGAAGCAGAAATTTCGGAACTCTAATGCCGAACAAAAACAAAAATTTTGAATAACCAATTCCGAATGAAACACGGCAATCACTTACATTGGGGTGGACTGGAAATTTCGAAAATGGTAAAAATTAACCCTACATTACAAATAAAATAGGAATGAGAAGATTATAATCTGTGTAAACTAACCTAAAATGTGAAAATTTCAATGCTCTTCAATGCCCTTCAATGCCAAAACTTCAATGACACAAATGGATGGATGAAGCTTTTGGGGAGGAACGGTAGAGAGTGTGAGAGATGGGTGTATGTGTGAGAGGGGTTCTCAGATGGGTGTGTGTGTGTGAGAGGGGTCTCACGGGTGTGTGTGTATGATTTACATTTGGGGGTATATGTGGAATGATAGGTGTGTGTAGTGAGTCAAATATATTAGGATTTATTTTTTTAGTGTGTGTATTAAGAAAGATTTGTATAGAGAGGAAAGGGTGTGTGTATATAGAAGCTCCTGTATTTAAGTCATTATGCCCCTTCTATTTTAGCTGCGCGCATAAGCTAAAAATTTTAAGCACCCCATTAGCAGCTTCAGCTTTTAAGCTGAAAATCAATTAATTTAAGCTATAATCTATCTCTATAAGTTTTACCAAACACACCAAAACAGCTCAATCTAAGTCAAAAGCTGATTTAAGCTAAAAATAAGTGTTACCAAACAGGCACATAGTCTAGCACAAACTCCCAAATCAGAATCACTCCAAAAGTTGTAACAAACAGTTGTAGTTGAACCCCTGATGTTTATCTCTCTCTCACTTCCCAATACTAGGACTGGACATAGAGTTATTTGATTCGCAAAAACTACCCAATCCGAACCGCCCGCGCCTATATGGGTGGTTTCGCAAAATTGTTAGGGTCAGATGTGGTTTAGGATTTTCTTATTTTGTGGGTTGTGGACGAGTTGCGGGTTTCACCTGTACTGGTAGGCACCGGTACTACCCTAAACATTTTTTCTAAATTATTTTAAATCTCTGACTTTCGTCCAGTAACACATTAGTAGCCTTAGCATCTCGACGGATAATTTTAAGATTACATTGTTCATAAAGGTACTCTAGCCCACGAGCTGTGCCTAAAGCCACTCGTTTTCTTGTAGGCCAATCTAAAACAGGTTCCCGAGGCTTAAGCTCTGCATTTAGAGTTTAAAACTAATCAAGCATCACCAAAAAATCAATTAAATAATCACCAAAATCACACAAAAATAATAGCCATTAAAATAGTGAATGATTTTGAATAATTTTGAATTTTGAATGATATACCTGTATTAGTTTATAATTTAATTTAAAAATTTAGAATTTTAAATGTTTTACTTGTATCAGAAATTGATTTTGTTATATTTTTAATTTTATAAATTTTAATTAATTAATTATTGATATTCTAAAGTAATGGAAAACAACAGGTCTAAGTTTTGTTTTTCAAAGAAAAAATTTCAATTTAGAATCCACCCACAACTATTTATATATATGCAAACCCCATCCACATAAATCGCAATTACAATACAATTCACAATACAAGCGGTTGCAAATTCAATATTTACTAAACCGAAAACGTACAAGCAAGTCCAAACCGCAACTCAACCGCCTAAAACCCATTCGTGACCACCCTACCCAATACACTCATACACTCTCTCTCTTTCTCTCTTTCTCTCTTTCTTTCTCTCGGTAAACCCATGAGACCCCTGATCTTCATTCTCTCTTACCCACAAACCCAATCTTCGATTGCCTTCCACAAACCCTATTTCCCTTATTCAATCTCCCTCTCATAGAAACCCTAATGGCCATAGGGCAGAGCGGCGATGGAAAAGCGATGGCGATCGACGGTGACAAAGTTTAGCAGATCAATGGAGCAAAAGCCATGGCGACGATGATGACGGAGTTGATCGATTGTGGGTGGCGCTAAACGACGGAAAGTTTTTTATCTTTTTTTTTTGTTTTGTTTTTGAAATTGGTCTTCACCCTATTTCTATCTCTCAACTCATTCATCTTTGAATAATATATATATATATATAGATACGGTTCCCGAATTCGAAGGTGATTTTTGAAATTAATGAATGGAGCAATCACACTTGGAAACCCTAAACCACTCAGATTCTCTCTTTCCTTTCCCTCCTCATCGCAGAAGACACCTCAAGAGCGAAACTTTCCTCACACTTGTTCGAATTCTATCTCATTGCCATGCCGACTCTCATACTTCTCATTCCCATCCGCAGGGGCTTCCAAAACAAGGTATTCATTAGTGTTTTCCTTTTCGAATTCTCCGATTGGTTTCTCAGAAAATTATCCAATAAGTTCAAGCATTAAACCCTGTGGTTCACTTTTGCACTTGTGTCAAAATTTAACTCTATTTCGGAACAAGGAGCCCTGATTTTGATTCTCTCAAAATTTCAATTCATTTCAGTGGATAAAAGGGGGAAAAAAGAGCTGACCACAGTACAAAACTGCATTACGATAACGTGAGCATCTCCAATCCTTCGCCTTTTCTTTCATCAAATTTAAATTTGATGAAAAAGTGATCAAAAATCATCTCCAATCCTTTCATCAAGTGTTCGTCAAATCAAGGGAGAGTCATTTTTCTCATCAAATTTAGAACTCATCAAATTAGATGAAAATTTAAAAAGATGAAGCATTGGAGATGATGATGATGATGATGATGATGATGATGATGATGATTATTATTATTATTATTATTATTATTATTATTTATCAAATTTGATGAAAAGTGAAATTTGGGATGAAAAGGTAATTTTTTAAAAGATTTGGCTGAAAATTTGATGAAATGATTGGAGTAGTTCATATCAAATCAAGTTTTCTACTCAAATTTGAAATCCAATTAGATGAAAAATTTGGTGAATGATTGAGGTTTTAATTGAGTATCAATTATGCTAACTTTAGCTAAATTGTGTTATTCATTTTTGTGTTGTTATTCTTTTATAAGCAGACAGTGTTGAGAATGAATTGGGGCAAGCGACCCAGGGAGAAGTGTGTGGTGAACCCGTTGGTCCTATCAGTATGGAGTCTGAAATATTGTCAATTCAGAGGGGTGCTTTGAATTCAACACTTCTTGGTAGCGATGAATGTGTTAATGAGGACAGAATGGAAACAGATGAGTTTGACCATGTAAGTAGGGTAAATAAGGAACTCGTTCCAGAAAACAGTATTAAACTTGTAAATAATACATTGGACAAGAATCCAAGTGGTAATGTTGTCTCTTTGATAGATAACCAAGAAGGCCAAAGCAGTCCCCAAGAAATTTGTATGGAGGAATCAGGAAATGTAGACAAGGAAAACTATAGTTGTAAGGTCACTGAAGCTCTTGATTTGTCTTTAGATGTAGATATTTATGCTGAATCGTCAAGATTGGATGAGAATAATGAACAAGGAAGTTCATTTGTGGAGAGGAATTTGTTGGAAGAAGTGAACGAAATGCAGCTGATGGAATTGGAGAAATGGGTATCTGATTGTGGTGGGTTAAATTCTCTTCTTCGTGTAACTGATGATGAAGAGATTGAAGAAGGAGAAATCTCAGGGGACTTTGGGGTTTATGACCAATCAATGGATTTGTTGTTTGAAGATGCTGTATCATTAGAAAAGAAGAATGTGGATGAGGAGCAAAATTCTGAAGCCACTATTAATGATGAACAATTAACTTGTAAGAAACAGAAAGTGGCAAATCAGGAAGATACCACCAAATCTAATAAGAATTTTGTGGAGACAATTGATAATGTGGGTAAGGAAGTAGAATTAAAATTCAGAGAAAGTAGTATGCCAGAGATGGAGTGTAAGTCAGAAATTGCTGCTTTTGGGAAAAATGGTGAGGCTAAACTGGCACATGGGTTTGACTCTATAATAGAAACTGTAAGAAACGAGAAGCAAACTGCTAGAGCTATCGAGGAGTTCAACCATCCAGCAGTGCCTGGAAAAATCTCAAGGGAAAATGTTACCGAAAATCAATGCACTTTATCCACTGAAAAGGTATGATTTTGATTTGTGAATTTCCTTTTACTGCTTATGGTGCAAGATAATTTTTTTTACACATTTGGCTGCACGGGCGATTCAGTGTTGGTTACTTGAGTTGTCACTGTGATAATGTGCTGATGTGCGACCTTTACTCACCTTTATTCAAAGGATCCTCCCTCCACCCTTCCAACAAAAAGAAAAAACCACCAATTTATAGCTTTCCACCCTGATGTTTTAGTAATAATAATGGAATAAAGAAGAAGATTATGGTTCGTTCCTTAATATGGTGCAATGGATCCGAGTAATTCTGGCGTCATCATGATATTTTGTTATACAGAGTCTAAAACTTCCACATATTTTCAGTATTTTAGTGCTTCCTTTGGTAGCGTTGACCATAATTCTTACTTATAACCATAGTTGTTTGAATTGTATTTTGTGATAAACACCAAATTTTTAGGCATGGAGTTTCCGCTCTTGCATTTGGAAATAGATGTCATAAATTTGGTTGAAATATGCCTAGCAGCTTAAACCAGCGGCCTTTATGATGCAGTTGATTGGAAAACCAATGAAAGCCAGAATAGCTGATGCTTGTACCTCTACCTCTCCAACACATGCATATGTGTCACACAATCACAAGCACAAGTGCGCATGTGGAAATGAACAATGTCAACCAAACTGCTAAAAAGCCTCAACCCCCCTTCTATCTTCCATAAGAGGAAAACAATTAGAAGGAAAAAAGAAGAAAAGAATAAAAGGAAAGCAACGAGTATCAATTTCCTACCATTGTTTTTTGAAAAGCCTCGGCACTCAACAGACCATAATCCCTTCTGACGAACTTTAAATGACATTTACATTGCTTTTAGAGTGAAATTAGGAAACAAAAGGGTAATCATTGTGATACTTTGCTAGCATAGTGAAAAATTCACCTTGTAGAGTACTAACAATCATCCTAGAATTCCTTTTCTTGTTTTCAGAAATCTATTTAATTTATTCATTTTTTTTCTTGGATGATGATACAATCAAAATCGATTAGTTATGAAATCAAATATTGACTGTTAAATTTTGGATGATGATACAAGTAGATAGTCAAGTCCCACCAAAATGATTTAAGATGTTATATTATGAGATTTTTATCTCAGGAGTAAGTTTTAAGAGTATTAAGTTTCTTTTTTAATTATGTTTTCTTATTTTATTCTCTGATTTTCATAAAGTTTGAAATTGGGTTGGTTTTTGAGTCTATAGCTATAAAGCAGTTTGTTTGACTTGGTGTCTTCGGGTTCTATTTGGTGGGGGTGCAACCTGTATACATTAGAAAACTATCTCATCTATATAACAAAAGCTATTCAAAGCCCTCTGCAAAATCCCAAAAGTTGGCTGAAGGATGGATTGACAATCCCCGAAAAGTTAAAAGAAAAAAATACAATAATCTATTTTTAGAACTCTAAATAGAGTTGTCCTTCCCATAAAAAAAAATCTTCTATTCTGTTTGTCCCACACTGACCACATTAATGCAAAAGGAACCAATCACCATGCTTTCCTCCTCCCCACTCAAGCACCTCTCCAAGAGCGAAGAACTTCCCCACCCTCCCAGGAAACACCTATTCCACACCAAATATAAGGAGCAAGGGCTATAAATCCTACTCCACCTCCAAATGAATAAGAAGACGGCTAACTAACTCCCTATTGTGCTTATGATCACACATACATCTGCTGCATTGAGACTATAGTGAATATTTTGAAAAATAAAATACCTCGAATCTTTATATATGCATTTACTCACACAACCCAACAAGATTAGTACTAGTTCTTTGAGCGCCATAGATTGTTGAATTTGAGCTTATATTGCTTAGAATTATAGATCTTTAACCAAAAATGAGATTTTTTTATTTTTTTTTATTTGTTATGAGTTCTCAACCTTGATCTGAGTGTTATTTGAGTGCAACAATGGTTGTGGCTATGATTCTCTACCTAGGCTGTAGTAATTGTTTTCTGAATCATTATGCGACATCTGTTAGATATATAACCATCTTTTTTATGGTTACGTTTGGTCTATATATATTGGATCCGGTATAAAGTTAGTTATATCTATAACAGGATGCTGGTGTTCGCAAAAAGAAAAAGCGGGGTCCTTCGACCAAGGAAAACAAAGCAAAGAAAAAGGTATACATTTGTTTCTTTTTATACTTTTAATCTTTGGCTGAATTTTGTATCTTTATCTAGGTTTTTTCTTTATGGCGCAAGGAAACACATTTGGAAAAAAAAAAAAAAATTGCTATGCCCATCAAAATATTAGACTCGTGCCCTTTAAAATATTGTTAATTTTCAATATTAACAATTGACACTTAAACTATTTAAATTGTTCCACTTTGCCCTAAGTCATTGATAGTGTTAGAATTGTTTGACAAAAAACTAAACTATACCCATCAAACTATAACATTTCTGTCACTTAAACTTTAGCCCTTGAACTATCAAATTTAATAGTTAACAGTTGACAACTTAAATTATTAAAATTGATTCATTTTTCCCTGAATCGATAATGACCTTGTAATTTTTTAAGTAAGATCACATGAATTGGCCACGGGTGATAGTGTAAGCACTGGAGGGAAAGGAGACCCCTTCTCCCACCAAATCCATACCAGTTTTGTGCACATGTAAATGAACTTCATCTTCTTTACCTTTATATGGTTTAATAGTAAACCAAATTTTATGACAAAACAAAGTGAGGATAGATAAGCATGACAAGATATAGAAGCTTGAAAGGAGAGAAAAATGTAAGTAGACGAAGTCATTTGGAGGTTTGAAACGATTCATCCACAAATACGCAAGCAATACACAAGCAATTGTAGCATTATTGTCTTTCCCTTGTAGTTGCTATAGATTTGGTTGGAGAAGGGCCCTCCTCTCTCCAATGCCCCTTAAATATCACCTGTGACCGATTCATATGGTCTTCTTTAAAAAATTGTAACGTTGGTATTGATTGGGGGTAAAGTGAATCAATTTTAATAGTCTAAGGTATTAAAAAAAGCTATGTGGCATAGATACAAAAATGTGACACGACACAAACACTTCGACATGGTGATTTTCAAAAAATGCAAGACACGATATGCCTAGGACACGTTAAAAGTTTATATTTTTATAAATTTATTATATGTCAAATATATGGATATTCAAATGTCATGAAAGAAAAATGTACATAACACCAATTAAAAAGTCATATATTTCATAACTTAAATATCAAGATATCATTCATGTTACAATAACATTGCAAAGAATGTAAAAACAATTGTAGCACATTCAAATACGTGATGTATTCATCTTATAAATGTTTTGAAATATATTTAGAATGAACAAGTTGCATTCTAAAGAATGCAGAACATTGTTACTATGAAGAGATTAATCATATAGATTGTGCTCAAAGGGTTCAAGAAGTATTGCCAGAGTATTCAAGTAGTGTCTATGAAGTGTTCAATATTATGAATTTAAAATTTTAATTAAAACACTTTGAGCAAGCGTCAGATACACTTTTAGGAGTGTCTGCTGAGTGTTATGTCCAACATGCATGTCTCTTCCATAGAAGTGGATAGGGTGTTCACGGGTCGGATTGGCTCGAGTTCACCCTTGACCAGTCAACCGAGCCGACACCATCTGGTGAGGAAACCATTCACCTGCTATCGACCGCCGTCCTATTCAAAATCGACCCCCTTAAACCATTCAGTTCAGCAGTGGTTAGCTCGGTCGAGTAGTTCAAATTACAACTTAAACCCTCTGCTTCTCCTAATGTGATTCAAAGTTCAAATTGAGGTATGTTCTTTGAATCTATTAATTCATCCGAGAGAGAGAGAGAGAGAGAGGGGGTGAAGAACTTGTTGAAGCCCCTAGATCGAGGTATGTTTTTCGAATCTGTTCTTTGTTCTTCTTTCGTCGTTTCTTCTGTTCGTCTCTCTGTCTCTCTTTTGCTGTGTGTTCGACTCTCGCTTTTGCTTTCTGTGTCTATTTGACTCTCTCTTTCTCTGTGTCTATTCTCTCTCTCTCTCTTTCTCTCTCTCTCTCTCTCCCCCTTTGCGTGTTTGCCCCTCTCTCTGTTCTATCCATTTTTTGTTTTGTTTTGTTTTGTTTTCTTTTCTCTCTCTCTCTCTCTCGGATGAATGAACCTTTTTTTTACAGTACCTTTTTTTCTCCTCTTTTCATTTTTTCTATTTTTTTGGATATTCTTGTGTGCTAAACATTAACAGACATAGAATAAATTATTTTTATTTGTAGAAAAAAATTAATTTGTGAATGATATTTGATATTAAAGTAAATACATAAATAAAAATAATATATATTTTTAATTTTACATATAATAAATAAAAAAAGTTATATATATTGAGCGTGTCCCTTATTTTTTGAAAATTTGCATGTCCGCGTGGACGTGTCGTGTCCCGGGTCCGGGTCCGGGTCTGTGCTTCATAGGTTCCGTGCTTCTTAGTGTAAGAATTTATGTATTATTGATTGATGTCTTGATTGATAGATAACAAGATGCTCTATTTGTTACAATGATTCATGATTTTTTTTTTTTTTTGAAAATAAAAGAAAATAAAGTGGAAGAGAAGTATGTGAATAAAATTGAAGAGAAATGTGTGAATGTGAAAGGAATAAAAATAAAAAAATAATAAAAAGGAAATGTGAGATTCAAATTTGTTTGGTCGGGTCCTACCAAAAAAAAAATATTTTTAGATGGGTTATTTGAGAAAGAGATATGATTGTAGAGTGGATATTTGAAAGAGATTAAAAGTGAGTTGGAGAAAAATAAATAAAAAAATAATGAAGTTGGAATCAAACGGAGGAGAGAGGGGACAAGCCCACATGGGTGTCTTGGGAATGAAAATTCAAAGGTGAGTGGAGTTGATTTTTTTTTTTTTGGTCGAATATATATAAATATATATATAATATCAACTAGTGACATACCTCATCACAAAACACGTCCCACCTCTGCACTATACACACGTTTACCAATAAGCTTTACAGCTGCTCAAGCACTAACCCATAATACATGGCAAAAACCATGTGCCGGTGCACAAAACCATGGGCCAGAATACCAATCACGTGTATCTCTACACTATGCACGAAATCAAAATAGCTAATCTCAAAGCAAGACCCACAGCTTAATCCACTGTTGAACATTGCTGTGTGGGCCTAATATTCGATTGCGATCCTCCTCATCCAAAACCTCTAGTTGCATAATTTCACAAACCAAGCTGAGATCTGGCATAGATGGCTGGGTGTTTCCCAGCAAAAACTGCTCATTTTCCTTGAGCCAAAATGTCTCAATCTTTTCAAGAGATGCAGACAAAATTTTCTCAGCTTCAGCAGCTACATGTGGATTTGGTTGAATGCGAAGTACAGGTGCAAATACAGTATTCTGAAGAAATGTAACTGCACCACGGCGTAGATTGGAGTGATGCCAATCAGCACTGAGTCAATCTTAGCTCTTTTGATGAGATCAGTTGGATACCAATGATCTGCAACTCCAGGAAACGCACAAGCAAGATATCTGAGAATTGCATGACTCTCAAACAGCTTAAAATCTCCATCCACTATTGTCGGCACTTGTCTCATAGGGTTTATTTCTTTAAATTCAGGAGATAGGTGTTGACGTTTAATCAAGTCAACTGTGATCTCCTCAAAATCAATTCCATTCAACTTGCAGAAGATGAGAACTGCACGAGATGGCTGCGACAATCGATAGGTGTAGACTTCCAGCAGGCAGGTGTAAATGTTGTTGAGCTGGTTGTTGCCCGAGGCTTTGGGACTGTTATTAGGCATCGAGATTTTTGAGGAAAGATCAAACTATTATGATGTCCTTCTCTCTGCTGAATCTCGAGCCATTGCTGGGAAGAAGGGGATTCATTCTTCCAAGGATTCTCCAGTAATGCACGTAGCAGACCTGATGACAGCTTCAGCAAAGAAAACAAAAGATTTCTTGCCATTTCTGCAACGGAAAAGGTTGCCAGAGTACAGGACGAGAACAGAGGAAGCTTCAAGGAAGAAAATTGGTGGTGATGGGTTGACTGGGTGAGTCAAGGACAGCGACTCGAAGGAGTTGGGCGTGAAGGTGGTGGACTCGAAGAAATTTCAAGGTATGTGGTAGAAAATTCTAGTGGACTAGGTTGAGGTCCGGCGGGCGGCCAAGGCGAGGTTGCCGCCCGCCGGTGAAGCGAAAAATACGAACTGCTTAACCTTGCTCTAATACCATGTTAGAATTCAATGTATAAAAATAAATAGAGAATTGTATTATTGATTGATGTATTTAATGGTGTGTTGAGCTCTCTCCTTTATGGAGGAGAGGGAGAACAATTACAAACCGAAAGTAGAAGCACAAACCAAACAACATTATTAAAGGTACATTATTAAAGCATACTAATTATTATACTAACCTAATTATTAAAGCAACATTTTACATATTATATTCTAACACAACTTATGCATCTGAAAACATTTCTAAGAAGAATGCACCATATGCTTGATCAACATGACGTCAAATATGCATGCGTAACTTCTAACATAGGGAAATAATAAAGTAACAAAGAGTTTTAAAAAAATGTAGTGAGAAAGCAAGTAATAAAAGTCATTATATAGATAATATTTTTGGAGCTTTATTTCACATTTTTCTATATTAAGTAGAAAAAATTATATAATCGATCAAATCACATGTTTTTTTATATAATATGTAAGAGTTATATTATATATAATATGTTTGTGTTTCTTGTTCGTGTGTATGTGACATAATTGGACATCAATTTTGAGCACAATGGAGAAAGTTTCTTGGTACAAAACCATCTCATTGGTTATTCAAATTTTGGAATTGATTATTATATGTTCGCAACCACAATGTCCAATTTGGTGTGACCATTCTTTGATATTCTCACTTCAAAAGAGGATCGAAAATTTCCCCTTAACATAATGGCCCTTGCTAAGGGGCATTCGTGAACTCCCTCTCCCTCTCCCTCTCCCTCTCCCTCTCATTCACGAGGGGCTTTATGCTGTGTAGATTAGGAAATGTTGGAGAATCTTTGGTTTGGTAAGTTGAAAATGGTTACTTTTGCTTATGCTATTCAAGCACCTTCAAAAGTGTTAGAATTTACCATCAACTACCACCTCACCTACTCCACTAAACCTAACCCACTACACCACTACCACCTCACCTACTCCACTAAACCTAACCCACTACACCACTACCACCGTGGGTTAGGTTTAGTGGAGTAGGTTTAAGTGGGTGAAGTAGGTGATAGGTTTTAACACTTAGGTTAAAGGACTAAATTGACACATGATAGTTTGAGGTACAAAGTGAAATTTTTCTTCAAACAATGTAACACAATGACAATTATTGCAAAGTAAAACAATTTTTTACAGTTTAAGGCGTTAATTGTTAAAATTGATAGTTTAGGTGCAAAGTGACATAAGTCCCCAAAGTAAATTATTCCCTTACATTTAATAAATGCGGTACTTTATGATGCTTTGAATATTTATTTTACACATCACACACCAAGTTCAGTGTTGATCAATACTATTATAGTTGCCATGTACAGTTTCAATCTATATTACATCTTTTTTTCTGGGCTTAACTAATTTATCTAATTTGCTTATTGCAGCAAAAGGAAAGAATCAAACGAGCAGAAAAGAATAGACGTCTTGGTGTTAAAAGGTTAAAAATCCAACCAGTATTGAAACCAAAAACAGTGACATATTGCCGTCATTATATGAAGGGAAGATGCCAAGAGGTTGTAATAGTAATCTATGTTCTGTCTTTCTTGTCTTGTCTAATTTTAGGATGGAGGTTTCAATTGCTTAGAAGTCTCACTTATATGCATACTGATGACACTGCTTTTATTTTGTTCTTTTTGTTGCACAGGGTGACAAGTGCAAATTTTCACATGATACAATACCCTTGACAAAATCCAAGGTATGATCATGTAACGTTTTAACCAAGCACTCTCATGATTCAACAATTGCATTTGATTGTGATTATTATAAGACCAGCTGATTGTTGATAACTACTGGAGATGTATCATTAATAATTAGCGCTGTTTCATTCTGTTACCATTAATAGTCTGCTCTGTTTCATTCTGACTGATAGTCTGCTTATAAGTGGTACACTAGTTCAATAATTGACTAGTGAGATACTCAAGTAGAATGAACACTTCTAACAAGGAGCTGTGTCTGTCAAATACTGACATTTTACGACACTGTTGGTGACGTGTCCCACAATTATGTGTTATAATTTAAAAATAAAAATTCTTAATTTTAGACCATTCGGTGATATACATTTTTAACAATTTGACATCACTTCTTTAACACTCTTCAACAAAGAACAATGTTAGAATTCTTAGGAATGCCACTCATGCATCTGGAAACATTTCTAAGAAGAATGCACCATATGCTTGATCAACATGAAGTCAAATATGCATTGGTAACTTCTAACATAGGGAAATAATATATACTTATAAAATACATAGGGAAATAATAATGTAACAAAGAGTTAAAAAAAATGTAGTGAGAAAGCAAGTAATGAAAGTCATTACATAGATGATATTTTTGGAGCTTTTTTTCATGTTTTTCTATATTAAGTAGAATTATATAATTGATCAAATCAAATGTTTTTTTTATATAATGCGTAAAAGTTATATTATATATAATATGTTTCCATGTCTCTATCCGTGGCCCCCTTTTTTAAGGTTTGCGTGTGTCTATATTACATCGTGTATGTGTTTCTTGTTCGTGTGTATGCGACATAATTGGACATCAATTTTGAGCACAATGGAGAAAGTTTCTTGGTACAAAACCATCTTATAGGTTATTGACAAATGTATGAAGAAGAAAAAGAAGAAGAAGAAGAAGAAGAAGAAGAAGAAGAAGGGAGAGAGAGAGAGAGAGAAGATTTTATTGATATGTGATTGTGTTTTACAATGAAGGAAAGGAGGCTATATGTAAGCCAAAGTAAATCAAGGCTGATGTCATGGATGACATCATAATAGGGTTGATGTCACCATGACATAGACACCGACACAACACTTAACACTCTCCCGCAAGGTGGTGCAAATATATTTCTTATGCCCAACTTGCAACAAATTGGATGAAAAACTTTACTACTAAGACCTTTGGTAAACACATCGGCCAATTGATTTTCTGACTTCACAAAAGGCATACACATGAAACCGTTATTCAATTTCTCTTTAATAAAGTGTCGATCAATCTCAATATGCTTGGTTTTATCATGTTGAATAGGATTGTGAGCAATACTAATGGTGGCTTTGTTGTTACAGTACTTAGTCATAGGATCACCACAAACAATTCCATGAGTTCACAAATACCATGCACCTTAGCTCAGTATTTTGCCTCTGCACTAGACTAGGATACCATTGTCTGCTTTTTATTATGCCAAGTGACTAAATTACTCCCTACAAAAGCGCAATAGCCAGATGTAGACCATCTGTCATTTACAGAACTTGTCCAATCTGCATCAATAAATGCCTCCAACCTCAAGTGTCCATGATTATATAACAAAATTCCTTTTCTTAGGGCAGATTTAAGATACCTTAAAATGCGATACACAACCTCCAAATGTGTTGCACGAGGATCATGCATAAATTGACTTACTATGCCAACTGCATAGGCAATAACCGGCCGAGTGTGGGATAGGTATATGAGCCGTCCAACAAGTCTTTGGTACCTTTCTTTCTCCACCGAGTTACCAACACCACTGCAAAGATGATGGTTAACCTCAATAGGTGAATCGGTTGGTTTATAGCCTAACATGCTTATTTCTTCAAGGAGATCTAGAATGTACTTCATTTGAGAAATAAAGATGCCTTTGTTAGATTTGGCAACTTCAATCCAAAGAAAGTAACCTCAATGGGCCAAGATCTTTGATCTTAAACTCCTTGATCAACATCTTCAGATGTGTCACATTCTCCTCATCATTCCTTGTCACAACTATATCATCCACATATACAATAAGCACAGTTACCTTATTTGAATTGTGTTTGACAAACATGGTATAATCTGCATTACTTTGCTTGTATTCAAACCTCAACATTGCTTTTAGAAATCTGTCAAACCAAGTTCGAAGAGACTGTTTCAAATCATATAAAGCTTTCTTCAACCTGCAAACTTTACCAACTGTAGAGTGTGAGAAGAATCTTGGTGACATTGACACTGATCTTATGCTAAACATTAAAATGAGGTCTTATTTTGCTGTGTTTTTAAAAAATTGAGGCCTTCGGCAATAAGAATTTTTAAAAATGTTCCGGGTTGGCCTTAGGCGATAAGATTAGTGGCCTAATGGCTGAGCCACCTCTGAGGCTCACCCAAATCTCAAGGACTAATAATCTTTCTTGTTTTCTTAGAAGAGATCGATTTTTGTTTTTATGAACCGCATGCCCTTAAAGAGGTATGGGTCTCTCTGGAAACTATTACTTCCACCCATTGGATTCTTCCACTCTTTGATGGGCTGGCACTAATCAATTCTATTTCTAAGATTTGATTTCTGTTTGGGAATCGTCATTAGTCTCCATTTTGGCAAGTACTTTATGCTGCCTTCAATCTTGTATTGATATGCTTTTACATAGATGTTAATTCTCTATTTCTTTTAGGTTTTTGTCCTTTTATTCCAAATAATTACGACAAAGATAGCTGACTATGTAGAGTGAACATTTTCAACCGTCAAGTGTCCTGATGGTTGATAATACCTAGGGACAGCAATAGATTTGGTTTAGAACAGTGTGCCCCGGTCCTTGCCTTGACCCTCACGGAAGTCCCCGACCCTTGCTTGTCCCAGACACTGCTAATTTCCCCAAGTGGAGATGAAAGAATATCCACGACTCACTATTACATGTCACCTACAGTTAATTTACTTCTCATTTCAAGTGTTTAATTTGGATTATGTGCAGTTTCGAATGATTTTAAATCAGTGGTAGTTCAGAAGTTAAACTTGTTCAATCATGTGTACTTCCCTCACCAACATAATTCATCCATATTTCTTACTACTTTTCAATATGCATAAATCATACTGCATGATGGCAAATTCATCCCTGAAACATACTTATCATTCTTATAGCAAATCAAGGGGTTATTTTTATTTCTTAGCATCTCTCTCTCTCTCACTCTCTCATGGTTTTTGGTGTTGCAGGCATGTTGTCATTTTGCTCGTCACTCATGCATGAAAGGCGATGACTGTCCATTTGATCATCAACTGTCCAAGTATCCCTGCAACAATTATTTGTCCAACGGATTTTGCAGCAGAGGCCCCGACTGTTTGTTTTCACACGAGGTGACTTTTTTTCTTTTCGAGTTTTGGTTGGCTTTGTTTAGCTATGCTTTACTGAATGTGTGGCCATACTTATTGCCTTACGGAATACTTATCCAGCTATATGTCTCTCAGATGCCACTCACGGAAGGTTCCCCAAGCACAACAAATGTTTCCAAACCCGAGTTGAAGTTTTCATCCCTCCTAAAGAGTACAAATTCTGAGAAGCAATTGAACTTGAATAATTCCTCTCATCAGAAGGTTGATTCTAGTAAGAACACTAAACAGGATGTGGTAGAGACTATACTCAAACGTGCTGTACAGACACAACCCAAGGGAATAAGCAAGCTTATGTTTGGGAAATCGGCACTGGACAATCGAAGTAAGCTTAATCAAGTTTCTCCGATAACAGGTGTTGGTGGTGTTAAAGTTGGTCTTCCGATGATCCGTGGCACACCAGATATGGCTCAAAACTCAAATGAGATTACAAAGATGACAGCTGCAGTGGAATCAAAGGGAATAAACTTCCTGTCATTTGGCAAAGCTCCTTTAAAGGATTGTGGTATTCCAAAATCAATTACCTTTGATGATTCTAACAAGGATAAGCAAGCTGCCTCATCTCCAAAGAAGGATGTTGGACTCAAAATTGGCAATCAGACGGCTCAAATCGCAAGAGACGTGATACCCATCTGGAGTGAGATGCCGAAGAGAACACCTACTATGCCACCCCAAGGAATAAACTTTCTTTCGTTTGGCAAAGCTGCATTAGATCATCCTAAGGACAATGATGTTGTGTCTGTTCAAGAGAAAGAAACTGCACCTAGACTTCAGATCCCCAGTTCAAAACCATGGAAGCAACTATCTTCACTTCCTTCAGATCAATCTGTGGATCAATTGACAGATGAGCATGGTAAAGACACACAAAGTTCAGCTCTGAAGGCACTCTTGTCAAATACGCCAAATGCAGCTCAAAAGGCACGTCTTTCAAACATGACGAACTCAGCACAGAAGGCACTCATGTCAACGTTAGCTTTTGCAGCTAAGTATGAGTCTAGAATTAAGATGGATCGTCCTCCTGATGGCAGCGCCAACTTCAATAAGGAAAGCAGTAGTTCACAAAGTACTTCGAGGGGGTCTACAATTTTGGATTTCTTGTATGGCAATGGTAGTAAAACCAATCAAGGTTAATGTAGTATTGTACTGCCAATGATAGTGATCCCTAGTCACTAGTCTTCAGTTTTATTTATTTATTTATCTCTTTTTTCTTTTTCTTTTTTTTAGCAGCAACCAGGCAAGTATTGTTTTTCCTGAATTTTAGTTATGGAAATCGTTGTATCTGATCCAGTTGCTAACAGTTTTCGATGCTTTTTTATACTTGGCAGCTGATATAATAGGTCAATGGATTCCTCCTGTAATTTATTTTGGGATGTGAGTGGATTAAAAAGCTGTGTTTTTCGAAATCAAGGGTAAAATACCTCTCTCTCTCTCTCAGAAAATATTAATATATATATATATATATATTTTCTAATCACTACAAATAAATTACATGTAAAAGTTTGGTTGACTCTTGGACCGCAGATTTTTAAAAGATTCAAGTTTATTCTTCTTGTTGAAAGTATGATGAGTATGATGAACTAGTAGTGTATTGCAGACTAAATAGTCCAAGACTTGGCTGTCTAAAGCATAGATCAGAATCATATAATGGATGCTGCTGGTTGAGGTATTGGCATGGTTTGGAGCTTGATTTTTTTCTGCCTTTAATTTGCTTTTATGCATATCCTTTGTATGATATCAACAGGACTCTGTCAAATTCCTCCTTCTTGATTAAAAAACAGAAAAAAAAAAGAAAGAAAGAAGAATTAGATTTAAACATTTTGATTTGTTTTCTCAAAAAACCATTAGCTAAACCAACTGGGATTTAACATAGTTGGCTAGAACCCTTGAATTTTATTAAGAGATCGAAAGGCTTGCCACCTTTTTTCTGGCCACAGCCAACGATTTGGACCAAAATTAAGACGCTGTCAAGCTTTAGACAATATCTGTGCAACAGTTTTTCAAAAAAATGTCTTCCAAATTAATACTACATTGTTCATAGTCATAATAGCCTTGTGTCTAATGGATGGTAAAAAGAAAAGTCTGTTACCCCGGTTTGTTTAGCAGGATTAATGAATTTCTTTTTTAATATTGTTTATATCATTTAAATAATGTATAAATATATTATTTATATTAAATAAAGATAAAAGAGTCGATTTTATTCATGCTTGAACTCGACTTGTTTATTAAACAAGCTTAAAGGTTCAACTCAAGTTCGTTTATTTACTTAACTAGCGGAGCCAAGCTTACTACCAACTTAATGTGTATGCAGCCTTGTGTAGTAGGGTTTGTGCTCAACTACCAGTGATGTCACATTTTTTACTTGCACCAGAACACAAACGCTGCACTGAAGAGAGAAAAAAAAAAAAAAACCAACATACTCATTTACAATTCCATATTTTTATAGTTAGTTTCATTCAATTTCCCTTTTATTCATTTATTTCTACATTTTTGTGATGCAATAACTTTAGTTCAATCAGTCGGGGAGGGCATGAAGATCGAGCTCGGAACATAGATTGGAATTGCCCTTTATCATTGGGGTAATTGCGTTTTAGAAAAACTCCAGTTTTCTTGAAAGATTTAGTTTATCTTAAGTTGGTCATTTCAATTTGAAATGTTTGAGTTTGGTGGTCTATTTTGGAATCGATTTTGATTATCCAAGCTGTTTATTTTTTAGGATTCGTTGAATAGAATATGCATACAAAAAATCAAGATGATCAAATATCGGTAGTTATATATTTGAATCAAATTTGTATTACAAAAAATAGATGACTATTCTTGAAATTATATTTGTTGTTAATTTTTTTTATAAACAAAACAAATATGATTCAAATATAGATATTGATATCTAATTATCTTGATTTTTTTTATCTGTATATTTTACTCAACGAGTCCTAAAAAATAAACAGTTTGAATTACTGAAATCGGTCTTCAAAAAGAGCTTACCAAGCCCAAACGGTCTCTTAAGCGGAGATGATAACTTGACAAAAGCCCAACTCATAAAGAAAAATGATATGGAATACTTTATTGAAAAGTTATCTAAAACTACCCAAATTTTAAGAAATAATTGTATGTACTTTTTAAAATTTTAAAATTATTTTTAGAGGAAAATAAAAGGCAATTTTAAAACGATGGTGATTTCAAATCTTTTTCATTTATATTATTTATAAAAAGAAAAAAACTTTTTCATTTATCTTATTTTTTAAAATACAAAAAAAATTTACACTTTTCTTTTTTTGGAAAAATGCCATCAATTGTGCTAAACCATTGGGTTGCAATTTTGTTTGGTTTTAAGTTTTCAAATACAATTTTTGAGTATATCATTTCCCTTTCAAAAATTACATTTTTGTTTTAGGTATTTTTTTGTTTGGGCAAATTTCAGTTGGCCCCTTTGTGTTTTTGGAAATAACCATACAACTCCCTTATGATTTGTGGACTGAAATATATCATTAAACATTTTATCTAACTTAACAGCAAGTGTGAAACACATGCCACACATAAAGGGATTATATGCTCATTTTCAAATTTAAGGATGGTAAATCGCTCATGGATTAAAATACAAGGCGATTAAAGTACATTTTGCCTCTTAAACAAATGATGAAAATATTTGTTGTTCACACGCTTACGTAACTTATATATAGGAGTATTTCAGTCTTTTTTATTAAATCATTAACATGTCTAATTGTGTGTTTTAGTCCACAAACTATAAAGGGGTTATGTGGTTATTTTCAAATGAGAGGGAGAGGTAATCTGCATATAAGCCAAACCATAAGGAAGTAAAGAAAATTTTGTCATTTTTGCTTTTAGACAATTCTTTTTTTTAATATTTTATGCAATTTAATTACTTTTTAAATTCACTTAATCAAGATATACTTATAAAATATAATATTTTTGATTTATTTTTTTAAAAAAATTACTAAATACCACAAAAAAAAAAAAAAACTTTTTGTATTTATTATATCTTTTCTCAGATATTTTACTTTTTTGACTTCATTCAGCTTAGGTGTGTTTAAAAAAAGGATTATGATTTGACATGGCTAACAAATCAAATTTTAACTTTTTAATTGTTTAATTTTAATTATGAGCTTTTAAAATGGTATGAATTTATAATTATTCGTTTCTATTCATTATTTTTATTATTATTATTTTTATTTTTAGAAAGTTATAATGCAATTATATTAAAATAAAAGTAGGAAAAAGAAAAACAACAAAGTTCTAAAGGGTCAAACAAAAAACTTTACAACACGAATGCCAAATTGTAAAGCTGTTAAAAAATCAGTTATGATTTTGGGAAGCCCACCAGTCTTCTCACAGATGGGGTTTGAAGAAACAAAATTTGCATTAAAATAAAGTCTAAACTCACCATTGTCATCATCATCGCCGCTGCCTAATTTTGCAACTACCACCGTTGAACTTCGGTCACTGTCAAAAGCCAAAGTTGGAGAAGAACACTTACAACAGTAAGGGAGAATGATTAAGAAAAGGGAGGACCACTGTGAATGTCGAAAATTTAAAAATCTATGTTGAAAATTGAGGGAGAAGCTCTCAAACCCTTATTTCTAGACATAAAAAGACTAGATTTACAGTTTGAAAGTATTTTTGAAACTCGTCAAAAACACGTCGGAGGGGCGCAAAAAATTGTCTAGAGAGAGGCTCTTTAGCTGCTCCCGTTTGGGTTTTTGTAATGTGTGTATCCGTTAGTTATAGCTAACGGAGAATGGACAATTTAGACAATTTAATAAATTTTTCCTCTTATTACTGTTGACAATCAACTTCTACTTTTACCGTTATCCATTACTGCCCCTCATCTTTAAAAATCCATTGCCATCGCCATCCCTTCATCCCTTTTCCCAATCGACCTTTATTTCTTCCCTTTCTTAACTCATTGCCACCCCTATCTTTTCCTTAGTTCATAGCTATTGCCGTCATATAGTATTACTGACAAAAAGTGATTAACTTGTCTAAGTTGCCCTTACTAGGTTCAGATATAAAAATAGATGGTTAAAATTGATATCATTTTAAAAGTTGGGAGTGTAAATTGAAATAATTAAAAAATTAGAGTTTAATTTGTTCTTGGAGTCAAATTCTAGATTTTTTTCTCTCCAAAAAATTTATACTTAAAAATTATTTTTAAAAACTCAAATCAAATACAATTATGGGGTGATCAAGAATAAAATGTTCTTGGAGTCAAATTCTAGATTTTTTTCTCTCCAAAAAATTTATACTTAAAAACTCAAATCAAATACAATTATGGGGTGATCAAGAATAAAATTTTACCCTCTTTATCTGTTTCAGAGAAAATTTCAAAATCCAAACAGAGCAGAGTCCTTATATAATTGCGCGTGTGTGTAGCAGACACTACAAGAATTTAGACAATTGGCGACCACTTTTGCCGATCAAAAAGATTTGGATTTGTGAGGAGGAGGACATCACTTTCACTTTTCCAGGGTAGTAGCTACCAAAAAACTTTGAAGCGGTTTGCCTCTTTCTTGTCTTTTTCTCCAGGGCTCTATTCTGCCCTCTTTCTTGTCTTTTTCTCCAGGGCTCTATTCTGCATTCAATTTAGAGTAATGATATATAACTCTAATTTAAGAGCTCTAAATAGAGCTTTAATGAGGTAGAAGAGAGAGGGAGAGAGGGTAGAGAGAGATAGATAGAGGAGTGTAGGCCCTTCCTTCACATGGTTACTTTCCACATCATTAAAGTTACATTAGAGCTCTCAAACATTATTGCAATTTAAAACCCTCCTAATTTAAAAGCATTTTTTTTTTGTTTTTGTTTTTATTTTGTTTTGCAAGTCCATGGCTATAAGGGTCTACTCTTACTTTGATGGTAAGGATATGAGTAATGAAATATATTAACATGAAGTATAGCTCTTTGTTTTTAAGGATGTATAAATTCTATTATACGCACTCTAATTATAACTTATTATTATATGAGTTATAACTCGGTTTTAATTCATTGTGATATTGATTATACCTTATGTGTTGTTTGGTTATTATTCATTATTACTTTTTAGTTTTGACTGAGAATGATCTAATTATGATATTTGTAATAATCAATACCATAAATGTCATAACTTACACATGATATACACTCCAAAAATGACGGGTAAAGCATGACCCCACACACACATATATATATAGTTACCCTTGGTATATATATATTTTTTATCTTTACATTATTTATCTTTTTTCACACTACTATCAATCGCCGCATGCTGTTTGCCTCCAGTGGCTAGTTGGAAAAGTTATTCTCTTCAGAAAATTTCTTAAAAGGTCATGGCAGTCATCATCGGTGAAGTGGCAGTGGATAGATAAATTGACATCTAGATAGTAGGGATGGCAATTTAAAACCGGCCTGATGGGGACCCGACCCCCCGACCCCGAATTGAGCAGGTTTTTCTCAAAAAATACTCCCGATGGGACGGGGATAGTATTAAAAAATCAATCCCTGATCAGTTTCGAGCCGGGGACGGGAATAAGTGTCCCAGCCCCGTCCCCGTCCCCGGCCCCATTTATCTCCGATGTGAAATTACTATTTTACCCCTACATTTATATATAAACCAAACCCTCATCCTCTCACTTTCACTTCTCTCTATCTGTCTCAGAGCCACGCTCACTGACTTCTCTCTCTCTCTCTCTCTCTCACTCACGGATCTTTCATCTCTCTCTCCCTCACTCACTGACTTCTATCTCTCTCTCAGATCCACCACCACCGCTGTCCAGCTCGCACCACCACCACCACCGCGTCTCTCATCCAGATCTACCGTCGCCGCCGTCCAGCTCGCACTGCCGCTTCACCTCCGTCGTCGACTCTGCACCTCCGTCAACCTCGTCACTTTCGCACCTCTCCTCCACCTCTGTCTACCTCGCACCGTCGCTCCACCTCCTCCGTCGTCCATCACGCTGATCTTCTCCGTCGTTCGTCGCAGTTCCATCGCATCCCTCTCTCTCTCTCTCTCAGATCTGTTAATGATTTTGTTATTGTTGATAGACAAGGGAGAGTAATATTATCTTTCATATTATAGTTGTCTTTATGGACAAAAAGAAATAAATGTTGGACCAATTGTCTAAAAAATTTTAAATTTGAATTTATTAATTTAAAATTCCAATGAGATTTCAAATTCAAATTCAAAAAAAAAAAAAAAAAGAAGAGAGAAGAAGAAGAAGAAGAAGCGAGAAAATGAGCTTATGGTAAATCAGAGTATTTGGTCTAGTAGTTGTATAACACCCTTCAACTCTTATAGAGAGGAGAAGTTTGTGGTGATATTTATTTCTCTCATTTTATGGGGATTATATGTAAGTAGTAGCAGAGTGATTGTCGGGGCTCAGTAGGCTTGGTTGTTAGGTTAGTTTTATTAACTTTCTAGCTAATGTGAAGTAGTAGTCCATTCATCATTGATAATGTAATATTTTTATACTTGTAATTAGTTTCTTATCGATTGACCTAAAAAATTAAAATGACAAAAATTGAAATGAAGTTATTTATGGGACAAAGTGTATTTAGATGGAGAGTTTATTTATGGGACAAAGTTATTTATGGGACAAAGTGTATTTAAAAGGATAAAAAAATCTAAGTGTTTATTTAGATGGAGAGTCTTAAAAAATAATGAAAATCAAAGTTTCCTATACAATTCAAATTACCTTATTAGTTAGGCTAATAATTTTTTGTAAAATATATAGAAATTGTATTTGTCCCACAAATCTTGATAAGGTTTAATTTTTTTTTTATTATTATTATTATTATTATTATTATTATTATTATTTTATTTTTTATTTTTTTTGTGTCCATATTTCTCTAACAACTGTGTGTGTGGAGTGATTATATGTTTTTCTTATCATTTGCTTACAAAAATTTCATCTATTCAAATGCATGCAAGAAAATAATTTTTTATTATTTTTTTCTTTCTTTTATTTCACTTTCTACTATTTTTATCTTTTATTATCCATTTCTTTATAAACAAATGTGGCCTAAGGTTTTAAATAATGATTTTGGAAGATGAAGTAAAATTCCAATGAGATTTCAAATTCAAATTCAAAAAAAAAAAAAAAAAGAAGAGAGAAGAAGAAGAAGAAGAAGCGAGAAAATGAGCTTATGGTAAATCAGAGTATTTGGTCTAGTAGTTGTAAAACACCCTTTATTGTGTGAAGTCTTAAATTTAAATTCAACTCTTATAGAGAGAAGTTTGTGGTGATATTTATTTCTCTCATTTTATGGAGATTATATGTAAGTAGTAGCAGAGTGATTGTTGGGGCTTAGTAGGCTTGGTTGTTAGGTTAGTTTTATTAACTTTCTAGCTAATGTGAAGTAGTAGTCCATTCATCATTGATAATGTAATATTTTTATACTTGTAATTAGTTTCTTATCGATTGACCTAAAAAATTAAAATGATAAAAATTGAAATGAAGTTATTTATGGGACAAAGTGTATTTAAATGGAGAGTTTATTTATGGGACAAAGTTATTTATGGGACAAAGTGTATTTAAAAGGATAAAAAAAATCTAAGTGTTTATTTAGATGGAGAGTCTTAAAAAATAATGAAAATCAAAGTTTCCTATACAATTCAAATTAGCTTATTAGTTAGGCTAATAATTTTTTGTAAAATATATAGAAAAATTTGTTTTTGTCCCACTCTTGATGATAAGGTTTAATTTTTTTTTTATTATTATTATTATTATTATTATTATTATTATTATTTTATTTTTTATTTGTTTTGTGTCCATATTTCTCTAACAACTGTGTGTGTGGAGTGATTATATGTTTTTCTTATCATTTGCTTACAAAAATTTCATCTATTCAAATGCATGCAAAAAAATAAATTTTTATTATTTTTTTCTTTCTTTTATTTCACTTTCTACTATTTTTATCTTTTATTATCCATTTCTTTATAAACAAATGTGGCCTAAGGTTTTAAATAATGATTTTGGAAGATGAATTGGTATTTGTTGTGCTTTGGTGATATTACTGAGTCATAGGTAACAATAATAAAGTGATGCGGTTGTGAGAAAGAGCATTATAGCAATTGAATCCGTTATATATATCAGTTATGAATTGATTATATCGACTGTGAATTGAATGGACCGTGTATTGGGTATGACCCGATAAGTATTGAGAATCAATTGATACGTACATTTACAATGATGGACTACAATATTTCAATATAAAAAAAGAACTTGACAAATGGTATATATTGGTCAATTATTAAAAAGAAAAATAAACATTTCAATATATAATATTTAAATTTTTGATAAACAAGTGGGGTGCAATCTATTTATAAATCTTTGTCCCATTTTTTACCAATTTTATATGGGAAGTGTTTCGGTGTGCAAGATGCATATTATATTTGCTTGTATAAGTGCTCACAAATATATATAAGTAACCTCACAAATATACGTAAGTTGTGATTTCTCAAAATATTAAAAGCTAAATTACATATGTTTGTGAAAACTTACGTGATTTTGTGAACTAACTTATGTATATTTGTAAGAATTTACGTAATTACATATGGTATGCACTTAAACACTTTAAAATTACCCATTTTATATTTATTCTAATTAAAATCGTCATTGATATTACGATGGTATGATTTATTTTGAATAGGGTTTATTACACTTTATACTCCTAAACTATTGAGAAATTATCTGCTTAGTCCATAAACTATTGATTGAGTCTACTAAGTCCCTAAAATATGTAAATTAAAGTCTATTTAGTCCCTAAGCTATCGATTGAATCTATTAAGTACACCAGAAATAAACGGATTCAGGCATGCTTTTTATGCTCAAACCGAATCCATGGATCATGTGGGTGAATCACGTGCCTCCATTGATGTTTTCGAATAATTTCCAGCAATAGAAAACCATAGTATCTTCTGGAAAAAGAGCGAGAACAAACTAGAAATGAATGGAGATGAAGAGAATCCTCCAGAAATACATTAATTGCCCAAAAATTGGCCTTGGCCATATGATTTCGAACTAGCCTTATAACTTTCTTGCACGCTCATGACATTTTGCCACGACCGTACAATAAAGATGTGGCTGGATGAAATTTGGTCGGTCAGACAACTTTGGCGGCAAACATAGCAGGCTTTAGAAGATTCGTCCCCTACGCAAGTGGGAAGGTGCTCTTCCACAATTATCGGGGGAATTGCGGAGCAAGGTACCTCCCAAGCTATAAAACCCTCGCTCTTTCAAAGTTTTAAGGCGTTGAAGAGTTAGAGAAGTAAAAAGAGATATAGAAACTCTCTCTTGTTCATAACTCTCTCTTTCTCTTTCTCTATATTTACATATACATACAAACTCCATTGAAGCTTGGGAGATGAAGTTTCTTGCTGGGATTTGAAGGTTGAATTCAGAGCTTAGAGGGTGATTGGAAGAAGAGGATTGTCAATTCAAAGAGCTCTTCCTCCTTTGAGATAATCTCTTGAAACTTTCTCGCCGGATTGCTTACGTATCGGATTCAGACCGATACGTATCGGGAATCGGCCGCTACGGACGCGAAATTCATTCTCGCCGGTATACCGGTGAGTATTCAACTCGGCACTCCCATTTTCCGGTACGAACCGGCCGATATGGCACGTACCGGCCGATATTTAGAACCTTGAGTTGATTATACTTTTATAAAGGGTAGTAGTCTCACCCTTTGATTAGTTTTGGTAATTGTCATGGTTTTCCTTCATTTTCCTTTGTTTTCTTTCATTTTCTCACCAATTTTCTTATCATCCAAACATATTTAATTATCTTGATCCAACTCTTGCTTATGTTTTGATAAGCATTTGTAGTTGTTTTGTGGGTTAATTGGATGATTAGAGAGGGTGATGTTTACATTTTCCTTCACTTTCTTTCTTATTTCTTTGGAACCAAACACATGATTTATTCTCTAAAAGGATTGGGCAGTATTCATTTCTGAACTCCTTGATCATGGAAATGGATGTCTATATCCATTTTCCACGAGGAAGATGAATGATGCTTCTAACCCTTGTTATGAAGTTCCATTGCTTGTGTTGGTTTATTTGTGATTCTTAGTATTTTCTTCTATTTCTCTCATCATTTTCTTTTTTGTTTTTTTGGAAGCCAAACACGACTTCCTCTTAGAAATAAATGGTGATCTATCTTCTCTACACATTGTTACATCGATTTGAGCATTACTTTGCTCTCTTCCATGAAAGGAGATATAGATTCCATCTTATTTCTTTGATTTTTAGTTCCATTACTTTAATTTGCTTCCATGATCATCATGTGATAGTTCATATCACTTGATGATCAAGGAAGCTAATCTATCTTTCCCATGATTAATTGTTGTTATTCTATCTCTCATCTCTTGGTGTTTGAGATTGAAATTCTCTATTACGTTCATTGAGAAGCTTCCATGGCTTGAATGGATTTCATCATCTCATCATTCATGATGATTGAGGGAGAATTCATCACGTCTAGCTTTCATTAATTCTTGAAAAGCATTAGTGCTTCTCTCTTATATTCCTATGCTAGAAAAGCATTCTGGCTCTTTTTTTTTCCTTTTATTTTGTTTTGTTTCTTAGCTTAACTCCGCCGCAGTTGCTTAACAACTCTGCCCGTCCCAAGTCTGAGTAAATAAGGAGGGTTGTGTGTTAAGTAGCTGACAGCCAGCATGTAAAAAAAGCCGCTTGGATCCCTTGTGAAAATGAATCTTACTTTGAATCGATTAAATGCTAGGTCATTCCCCTAAGTGACATGTTGCGCCTGCCTCTAGATGTTTCGAAAAATGAGCAAGGGGCACCACATCGACGCCTGGGTGCAGTGAAAAATGGGCAAAGGTTTTTGCATTTTTCTAGACGAGCGTAGATGAAAAAGCTAGTCCAAGGTTATAAGTTTAGGGTAGCCACTTGGAATATATGAACTTTAACTGGTAAGACTATGGAATTGGTAGATATCATGGTTAGGAGGAGAGTTAGTATAGCTTGCATACAAGAAACTAAGTGGACGAGTGAGAAAACTCAGGAAATAGAGGATACCGATTTTAAACTATATTATAGTGGCAAGGATAAACACATGAATAGGGTAGGAATCATAGTTGCCAATGGTCTTGTAGAAAATGTAGTTAAGGTCATTAGGTAAGGTGATAAGATTATATTAATTAAACTAGTTATTAGAGAGAATATAGTGAACGTGATTAGT